GGTTTTTTTTTTTTTTTTTTTTTTTTTAAGCTTTCTTAATTGGAAAAAGTCAGCATACAGGCTTCTATTGATTAGAGAATCTGGTCTCAGGTAGGTTTTTTTCTTATGTGTAAATGTAGCACATAATGAGTTTCCAAATTTATTTTCTTTTGGTTTATATGTATACTGGGCATTTCAAGTTAAAATATTCCTATCAACCTAAAACCCTGATTAAAACGTCTTCTCGCCCTGGCCGGTGTTGCTCGGCTGGTCGAGCGTTGTCAGTGCACCGAAAGGTTCCAGTTTGATTACCGGTGAGGGCAGAAGGCAGCCCACGGATGTCACACCAATGTTTCTCTCTCTCCCTTTCTCTCTCTCTCTAAAAATCAATTTAAAAAAAAACAAACTCCTTATTCTCTGAGTCTCACTGAAATCTTAGCCACTAACCTACATTTAGTCTCTAATGTAAGAGTAACTCCAAATCAAAAGAAAGTTTAGAGCAAATGTGGTTGAAGTCTACCCTTAGTAAAAGGGTGAGCCCCCAAACAGTAGTGATAACAACAACAAATGTGAATGTACCTCCATAGCCATTTATCGTGGTGAAAATGCCTAAAATTATTTTCCCATTTTTCTGAAGAGTCAAGGGAATTCTGCTGTTAGTACTAGTTTAATATATTTAAATAAGGGTTTTACACTTCTAAGAAAAACCCAGACTCGAGATAGCTAAAATAATCCCCATATACCTACAAATGAGCACTGCATGTGGATCTCAACTTAATTTCCCTATTAGTGAGAAGGGCGCAGCCAAGGTAGCTGCCGAGGTTTTCAATTCTTGGGTATAATTTCTCAAGAGCAGCTCAAGGGCACCCAGCAGGCCCAGCGGTACCTTCTCCAGGGGCTGATTTAGCTTCTCCCTCTGTGCTCAGTGCCCAATTATAGCCGGGTTCAAGCGCAGACTGAAAAATTAGTCTCTAGAGTCATGTGGGAAATTATCAAGGCCACTTGGCCCGGGGCCTGAGTGCCTGGAGTGCCTGGGCCTACAGTTTCTTTTCCCTTTGCCGGATGTGCTGGGCTGTCACTGTCTGGGCTCTCTTCATTCATGCTCAGAGGACACAAATGGCTGTAAGATCCTTCCCCAATATGCACGTGTTTTCCTGCTTTCCTTATGGCGTTTTAATAACTAAGAGGTCTGGCTTCTTTAAGAGTGGAAAAAAATTATTATCCAAGACCACTTTCGAAACTGTAGGTGATCTCTTCAACTCTATTATTTGCTCCAGGGGAAACAGAGATTTAGAAAACTTGTGACCAGCTCAAAGATTCAGGGTCTGGCTTTCTCCTAAGCCTGTAGGGATGTTAAAAATAGCAGTGGAATTATAAAGAGGAGCCTCAGCCCTCCAGGAGAAAGAGACCATACAGAAACGCAGTGTGGTTTGTACTTCCATAGCAGGGCCATACAGTGGCTCTTTCATTCCAGCAATGTCATCAGCTGCTTCCCTAACACAGAATTCACAGTTGGTGGGACAAGATAGGATCAGCAAGAAAAAGAAAAAAGCAGGGCAGAAGGAAAACAAACAAACCTAGAGAAACAGTTTTTA